GGAAAACTCATAGCTCGAGAATGAGAAAAGCTAGAAAGTTGAAACTTTGGGGGATGTTCCCTACTACGCATGACCAAGAGGTTTCAAGCTCAGCTCGCTAGGGCCACCGGGGGCTTACGTACAGGCACGTGAAAATCCTGGCGCGAAAATTACTAACCAGAGAACGGGAAAAGCTAGAAAGTTGAAACTTTAGCGCAATATTCCCTACTCATGTACGAGCAAAATCAGATGTTTGCAAGCCTCGGGCTCACCTACGAGCGCATGGAAATTCTCGCGAGAAAATTACTAACCTGGGAGCGGGAAAAGCTAGAAAGCTGAAACTTTCGGGGAATGTTCCCTCCTTGTGTATGACAAGAAGATTTCAAATTCAGTTGCTCAGGACTGCCCAGGGCTTACGTACGGGCATGTGAAAATTATGGCGGGAAAATTCGTAACTCGAGAATGAGAAAATTTAGAAAGATGAAACTTTGAGGGAACGTCCCCTACTCACGCACGACCAAAAGTTTTCAAACTCAGGTCCTTAGGACTGCCCGGGGCTTATGTATGTTGGTGACATATTAATTTATACTAAGTCAAGTGACTGCACGTGAAAATCTTGGCGCAAAAATTACTAACCCGGGAACGGGAAAAGCTAGATGTTGAAACTTTAGGGCAATATCCCCTACTCATGTGCTAGCAAAATCAGATGTTTGCAAGCGCCCGGGCTCACGTACAAGCGCGTGGAAATTTTGGCGCGAAAATTACTAACCTGGGAGCGGGAAAAGCTAGAAAGCTGAAACTTTTGGGGAATGTTTCCTACTTATGTACTACTAAAATCAGTAGTTTGGACGCTTCTGAGATCCACCTACTCTACATTTAAAAGTTTTGGCGCGAAAGTTACTAACCCAGGAGTGGGAAAAACTAAAAGGCTAAAATTTTAGGGGAATGTTCCCACTCATGTACGAGCAAAATCAGGTGTTTAGAAGCAGCCGGGGTCAACGTACGGGCATGTGGGGATTTTGGCGCAAAAATTACTAACCCGGGAGTGAAAAAAGCTAGAAAGCTGAAATTTTAGGGTAATGTTCCCTGCTCATGTGTGACCAAAAGATCTGAAATTTAACACCTCTAGTACGGTCTTTTTTGTAGACCAGCAATTTTCCATTTGTTGGGTCACTGAAATCGACTTCTACAACTGACATACCAAATAGCTGCACAGTTAACTTCCCGAACTTCGAGGACCAGTATATCACAGGTTAGCTCCTTTCATTCCCTGCCATCTCGCTACAGCACGAAAAGTGCAAAAACACATAATCGCACCGGCCCGCCTGGTGTATTCCAGCCTGGGTTTTTCAGTCTTTTTTAGTTCGATCTATTTTGGTAGCCGAGATATCGTAATATTTATCAAATATAAATGCTTATTAAAATAAGTTCTCCACCTTAACGGTAACCGGTGGACGTCATGCATTACCGAGTGGTACCTGGAAGAAAGTCGAGCGGCCCAAAAAAGAACAAGTGGAAGTATACAGCCCGGAATCAAAAAGCCTAGCAATAGCTACGCTCGGCATGCAAAAGCATCACAATTTAGACAATAATTACTGACATTATAATACCAGGAATATCTAGACTACCCATATTTGTGATGTTGGCCGAAAATTTTTGCAGGTCATTCTCCGGCTGGAGATTGTGGCACATACTTCTTTTTTGTTCAAAATAGACGTAGCTGACTACTTTTCCCAAATTAACAACATCTATTAAAGTTTTACCATGAGTATACTGGCAATATGCATAAACTTCGTTTTCGATACGTTTTCAAAGATTATAATAATTTAAAATTCTGTACAGAAGTCGATCCACAAAAAAAATCTTACCTGTATCCATAGGTTTATAGACGCTTTTATCAGTCTGTAAGAAAAGCGTCTTTAGGTCTGGCGCTCCAGGAATCAGCTTTTCAAACGGAATAACGTCGTCCTGAGCTCGAACTAGTACTCGATAGGCACTGGAGCGCGCTTCCCCACCTGGTACGAAGAACTTCAGACGATTCGTCGATCCTGCAAAAGTACAATTTCATCAATCAAAACAGGTAAAGGTACGTAACATAGAACAAAACAGAATTGAAAATCCCTACGGCAATTCACTCTTTGTAAAAGAACGAGGCATTCGGAAGTATGCTTATAAGAAGCATTTGAACCACTCGATAGCTCTAATAGGGAGTGGTTGCTGTTGGCACTTGCTACCAATCGGGCTACTTGCGAGTACTTTTAGCCTTGTATTAAAGAGTGATTACGAAGGAGATTTTGATTTTTTAATTTCTGACTTTGACAGTGCAACCACACTCTACTCAGAATAAAGTACGACTTACCAGCAACACGAGCCTGCAGCGTTTGCCGGAAAACTACAGCGGCAGGATGCTCCGCACGAATTTCCACGC